TGCCCCTCCCCCGTTCATGCTCTGTCTCTCTCTGTCCCAAAAATAAATAAACGTTGAAAAAAAAAATTAAAAAAAAAAATAAAAAGTCACATATCATGCAAAGACAGCGTGTGTAATGTATAGAAGTGATTTTTTAAATCCAGCTCGTGTGGGTTATATTTTGGTTGGAAAACAGAGAGAAGGGGTTGGAGTTCAATCCCCTTTTCATCTGATGTGCCTTAGAAATCATTTAAAGTAAGTGGGAATATATGCCTATTATTTCCCTGGATTGGCACGGAAAAACACAAGTTTAATCCCTCTGATACACTTAGCTTCCCCCAAGTTTGAGAGCCAGTGTCCCAGCTGGCTCAGTATAAAGACTGAGGAAGACTTTCACCCCCACCTCACGATCACTTCCTGTCACAACAAGATGCTCCTTTATCACTTGGGCTGGGCTCCTTGCTGTTTTAATGTGCAGAGCAATGTTGGGCATAATCTTTTTCGGATAGGCAATAAATGCTACCTAATTAGAACTCTAGGAGAGCTCACGGGTAGGCAGAATGCAATTATAGCCTTTGGACTTTGACCAAAATGCCAGAGCAGATGCCTTGGGCTTTACAGAAGGATCATCCAGTGCTGTGCTGGGTGAGGCTGGTCTAGTGCCAAGTTTTGGAGGCCTCAGATCCCATGGGCAGGGTGCTGATGACCCATGGAAACCCTGTTGATGACACAATATACTACACCATATGACAGGGAAGAGGGAAAAGTTAGCAGCTGGGAGTCGACACGTGGGACTTGGATGTTCAGCAAAAGTCTTGATGTTAATCCTCAGAAAGGTTGAGAATGACTCCTAGGGAGATGATTGGAAACCAACCCTTCATACCCAGCAGTCCTTTTTCTTGATCATCTCAGTGAGGACATGTAAAGAGAGTGGAGTAGAGAAGATACTTCAAATACTTAATTTTTGTTAATTTGGACATTTCATTTCATTCAGACGTTCGGGTCGCCCAAAACAGTGGATGAACTGGTTTGGATCGCCTTCGGTTGCGTGTAATAGGAAAATAGGAATCTGGCGATGACGGTGGCTTAACCGCAGTGGTGAAACTGTTCGGCAGCTGGCAGCCCAGGGCTGTAACGGTGCCGTGCACAAGCCCACGGAGGTCTGGGGCTGCGCCTTCTGCTTTGCCATCTTGGGCATGGACCTGTGGGCCTCCGGATAGCAGCTGTAGCTCATGGCATCACATGGGCTTTCCAGTCAGCAAAGATGGGGACAGGCTAAGGGAGAGAAGCGTGGGCCAGATGAAGCTCTTCTCTTTTCTGGGGACAGTAATGGTTTAACAAAGGGCCCACCTAGGAGACTTACACTTCTCTCTTCTTGGCCAGAACCAGGTCACGTGAACTTCTAAGAACTAAGGGAGACCGAAGAGAGGCGTGCTTTCATTGGAACACATTGTCAGCTCACACAAAAATGTGATTTTGTTAGTGAGGATGAAAGGAAGAATGAATGGATTGGCAACCACACAAAGAGTCACTTTAAACTGTAGCCTCGTTGATTGATTACGTTGTACTCAGACGACACGAAGGATGTGCTTTAGGTTCTCTCTTAATCCTCACAAAAAATGTAGGTAAATCCAGAACTTTCTTAACATCTCTGAACCTCAGCTCCTTCATTTATAAAATAAGGATTAATACTCTCTAATAGGAAGAGTTAATAATTCACAAGTTTAAATTAAAAAAAAAAATCCAATGTTAGTTTTGAGACAGAGGGGCAGAGAGAGAGGGAGACACAGAATCTGGAACAGGCTCCAGGCTCTGAGCTGTCAGCACAGAGCCCAATGCGGGGCTTGAACTCATGAGTTGTGAGATCGTGACCCGAGCTGGAGTCGGACGCTTTACCAACTGA